TAATTTTTGAGAAATTTTACAGGCCATTCATCGGGCGAGACTGGACGATGGAAAAATAGAAGGTACCCAACTGAAAGTACATGGAGATAACAAATAGGTGGGGATAGTAGCAAATTAGGTGGGGCTAGTACCAAATATACAGGGCAAGATCTATTATTTATTTTATATTTTTTTTGAATAAGGGTAAATCAGTTGTCATTCAAGGACAAAAATGGGATTTCCTATGACTTTTTTTTTTCCAGAGGTGTAGGTCTTTGCGCAAGGCCGCGTGCACTGGCTCGCCACAAGCTAGCAAGAGGCCGACTGTGAACGTGCAGCATCCCCTCGCGAGGCAGACTCCGTCATGTCCTTCTCACTCGGGGACGAGACGTTCACGTCCATTCCGCTGCCGCCCCGTGCCTGCGGTAACGTCGTCGGGCTCACGGTTCTCCACGGTGGCGGCCTGGACCTTGTCTCCTTCCACCAACATCGACCGCGTGACATATGGACGCCGGCGTCCGAGGACTTGCATGGCGTAAGGCTGACGCGTGGGCTCCGGCTGCCGAGATCCGCAGCAGTAGCTGTGCTCACAGCTTGCCACCGTCGTCGGTAGTGGCTACAAGCTACTGCGCAGCTATACGAGGAGAACCTTGAGGCCGTTGGCCGGCCGTACGAGGACGTCCTCTTCGCGTCGACTCGTCGTACCTGCAGGCGCTGTCGATGGCTCTGCGCCGGCCGGCATCCAGCTCGCACGCTCGGGAGGTCAAGTCCGTCTGCCGTAGATGGCGCCCCGTCATCAAGACCGACCGCTTCGTCTCGGCGCACAGCGAGCACCAGCTGCGGCTCGCCGCTTCATCTCCGTCGTCTCTGCTTGCAGACCGCGTCATCTTCACGTGCTGCCTGCCGCTTGAAGATGAACCCTCTGTGCCACTCCGCTCGTGCCTGGCGGCTTCGCCTTTCGTAATACCGTGCCATGGTCGACCGATCCATGACGTCTAGTTCTTGAAGGGCACACCTTAATTACTAAAATACCGACTATAATATATTTCTCAATTAATTACTTAGAAAGTAGAAAAAAGATGAAAATATGTGGAGGTACCGTGGTACTTTTCCAGCCATCGTAAAAGATCTCATAATTTTTTTTCAAAAAATATACTTTCATGATTCAGAAAATTTTGAAACAAGTCATATCCATAGTTTACCCACATGGGTACTTTGTTGCAAAAGTTGAGATTCAAACTCATTCTAGAAAAAAAAATCATGCAAAAATGACAAAATGCAGGTGCATATACACTACAAGACAAGATACTAGGAATTTCGTCTTCTAGTGCACATGGACTCCAATTTTGTTATTTTTGCATGGTTTTTGTCCACGTTGAGTTTGAATCTTAACTACTACAACAAAGTACATATATGGATGCACTATGCATAAAATATTCCAAACCACAGAAGCATGCTTTTCGAAAAAGTTTGCATGTTTGAACCTACCTTCAAGTTAGCAATACATATTTTGTCACGATGGAAAGATTTTTAGTATAAAAGATGTGTCCAATAGTACTCTGCCAGAATTAACTAAAGAGATATGAGTTGAACAAAAAAGGTCCCGACTTAATATGTTTGACAAATTTCATGATCCATGGATCCAAAAGCCAATCACTACTATAGAATTGGACATCACCGCCGGCCTCATCACTGCCGAATTTTAAAATAAACTGGTAGTGATAGATAGTGATAGACCATCACTGCTGGTTTTTGGCTAAAACCGGCACTAATAGGACCATCGACATTGATATTCAGGTATTTATTATCGGTTCATATCACTATCGGTTTTAACCAAGAACCGGCAGTGATATTGGGTCATCACTGCTGGTTTTAGCCAAAAATCGACACTGATACTATCACTGTCGGTTCGTGACTTGAACCGACAGTGATATGCTGCAAGAAAACTTCATAGGTTTCTCATATGATATCCGACGAAGACAAACTTTATATCAAAGTTGTAGTACTCGACGAGATCTATAATTTTTTAGTTCAAACTTTTTTAATTTGAGATCATTTGGATGTCAAATATTTTCATTTAAAATAATCTATCTAACGAAAATTACGTTTGATTTCTAAAAATTAAAATTTGAATTTTTTAAACGGCCTCAGATGGAGAAACGCCCAAAACAAAAGTTGTAGATCTCAAAAAGTTATGCAACTTTATAGTTAAAAACTTTTTCATTTGAGATTATTTGCTACTTGAAAATGTTGTTTGAAATTAAAAATTGAAATTGTTTAATAACTCTGATTTCTTTTTTTAATCTCTGGCTAAAACTTGTAAGTGTTTCTCCCTCGTACTAACTTCAAATTTGATGATTTTTTTTCTAAAAATTTCTAAAATCATGCTCTATAAATTTATTGTGTTCTTACCGCTATTATTTTATCCATCTTTTCATGTCACTGTGTTTTATCTATTTGAATTTTGAATTTTAAAAATTGGCAACTTCAAACGTCATTTTGGAACACTAAATGATTTCATCTGAAAATATCATGAACATAGAAGTTGTAGAACTTATCAAGATCTACAACTTTTATTTTGGTCATTTCTTCATCCGATAAAGTGGTAATAACATTGTTCATAAAATTTACATATCGCTCTTATAGTTTCATAAATAATAAGAGGGATATGTAACATTTGTGAATAATGTTACTACCACTATGTCGGATGAATAAATGATTAAATAACCAAAATAGAAGTTGTAGATCTAAGAAAGTTATGAAACTCTGTAGTTGGCAACTTTTTGATTTAAAATCATCTTGTCAAGGAAAATTACATTTGAATTTCTAAAATTTGAAATTTAAATTTTGTAAACGACCTCAGATGAAGAAACTATCAAAATCAAAGTTGTAGATCCCAAAAAGTTATGAAACTTTGTAGTTGACAATTTTTTGATTTGAAACCATCTTCTCATGGAAAACTATGTTTGAATTTCAAAAAAATTAAAATTTGAATTTTTTTAAACGACCTCGGATGGACAAACAGCAAAAACGAAATTTGTAGATCTCAAAAAGTTATGAAACTTTGTAGCTAACAAATTTTTGATTTAAAATCATCTTGTCATGGGAAATTACGTTTGAATTTCTTAAATTTAAAATTTAATTTTTGTAAACGACCTCGGATATAGAAACTACCAAAATGAAAGTTGTACATCTCGAAAAGTTATAAAACTTTGTAGTTGACAACTTTTTCATTTGAATTTCTTTAGGGTCCCAAATACTCATTTTAAAATTAGATGAACATAAAATGTTTAGGACGAAAATCTCGTTTGGACACAAACAGCTTGTAGATGGAGTAGTTAGGGGGCCGAAGACGCGAAGCAGGACGACAGGGGTTCGAGTGCTGGTGGCCGCGAAGCCACGCGTTTTTGGCGAAAAATCGCTTGACTTGTGACTTGCGATGCGCGACCGTGTGGCTGTATAGTGGGGCCTGTCCCGGTATTAAAAAAAATTCCCTATTTTTTCAATGATTTTTTTGGCTTTCCTAGAAACCACATCACTGTCGGTTCACATCAATGTCGATTCATAAGAACCGACAGTGATGTCAATCCCACGTCACTGCCGGTTCAAAATCCAGCAGTGAATGCTTTTTTTGAACCGGGAGTGATGTTAAGATCTAGGGTAGTAAATTAATCACTTCCATAATGATATTAGGGATGATGTTATCTACAAAATTAAGGTGCATAGGCACTTCCAATAATTTAGAAAGATTTGGTTAGGGTTTGTGTGGAGGAGACTAGTGAGTTAATTAAGAGTGACATAGGATATCGTTGTTTTCTGGTGCTTGTTGATGAGGCCCACGATGCATCTATTAAGAAACAAATGGCTGTGGTCATGAGGTGTAATCACCTCTTAGGGTTAGTTTGGGACTGCTTGGCTCTAGTTTTTTCAGCTTTGATCCCAACTTGTCTAGCCAAAAAGGCTTATTGATGAGGCTCAAAGGCTGATAGCTCCACCGTAGATTGTGACATTTTTTTCTACCTGTTGGCCAAGCCTGGTCTGACATGTAGACTATGAACTGCATATATTATGGAAAAAACACTTCAGAATCAGTATGATCAATTTTGTGAATTCAGAGCTTTTTGCAGCTCTTAACCAGAGGGACACATTCCGCTTTTGGAGTCAATTGTAGTGTAATGGTGCCTCTAAGTCGTTCATTGCCTTTGTGTGTGCACTGCCCTTAGTCAGCGGCAATTGCTTATGTCTGCCTCTCATGGATGGCCTTTTTTTTAGGAATGCTATGTAAACTATAGAACTATAGAGCTTTTCGCCTCTCAGCGACAACTACAGCTGTATATCTGTAAGCACTCTGATTTTGACACGCACTCAATCCTGATGTCTTTCAAGTTCATGTACAGGCAACTTTGCTGTTCAGTGTGCTGATGGCTCTGTTTTTATGTGTATTTTGTTCTACGTTTTTTATCTGGAAGTTTAATTTCACTGACACGGTTTCGTAGGTAGCAAAAATCACAATACAATGGTCTTTACTTGAAGCGGCTAAAATTAACCCTTACAACTTACAAGTATTGATTTATTGCAGTTTGACATAAACAGAAATGGTCAATTCTGCAATTCAGGATGCCAGAACAGAGAGCACACCACAGTGGTCGTTGTCAAATCAACCCTTTTTGCCAGTGAAAGTCAAACAAAGACTGCACGTCGTGTTGCACTCCTTCTCTGTATCTATGTTCTGTATCACACACACATTTCTTCATCACTCTCAAGTCCCAAGGGCGACCAGCCACAATTTACAACTACGCCTCGATCTTGCCTGCCCTGTTCGCAGCTCCATTTGTAAAAACAGATAGAGAACCCATGGCGTCCCAGGCCATCGAAAGCTACCGTGCTGGTGCAGTGGTCGTCACTGGAGACGCCGCATGCCAGAAGAAGTCCGTTGAGCTGCTGGAGGAGCTCGGCCTCCCCAAGGGCCTGCTTCACATGGAGGACATCCAGGAGTTCGGGTACAACCCTGAAACGGGTTCATGTGGCTGCTGCAGGGGAAGAACGTCGAGCACACCTTCAAGAAAATCAAGCAGACGGTGTCGTATGCCGCCGAGGTGACGGCGTTCGTCGAGAAGGGCAAGCTGAGCAAGATCAGTGGCGTCAAGACCAAGGAGCTGATGCTCTGGCTTAGCGTCATCGAGGTGTACGTCCCAGAGGCCTCGCCGGAGAAGGTCACCTTCAAGACCAGCACTGGCCTCTCTGACAGCTTTGATGCCGCTCCCTTTGCGCTTGGGGAATGAGGGGTCACCAGATGAGACAGAAAATGATGGGCATGCGAAAACCTGAGTATGCTTAGTGCTAATAAAACCTACTGCATGAGTTCTGTGTTTTTAAAACTGAAATCTGTATAATTGCTTGTTTGACTCATATTTTGTGTTGAGATAAATGCACCGTAGGTCCATCAAATTTTTGTATTGTGTCATTCAGATCCATTAACTCTGAAAGTGCAGATTTGAGTACATAAACTTTTTAAGTTGTGCCATTTAGGTCCATATCCTTCCGTTTGGGGAATAGATCCTACGTGGCAACACATGTCAGCAGCCGCCATGGTCCATAGGTCATGTGAGCAGCACGTGAGGCCCATTTGCCAATCGTTTTTTTTTGCCGATAGCCCCCTATCCTTTCCGTTCCCTCTCTCTTCACCCCTTCCTCTCCCTTCTCTTCGAAGCCATCGTCCCTAGAAGCCAGACGACGCTGGACGACGGTGTCTTCCTCAAATCCCCGATGATCCCTCAAGATTCCAGCTCCTCCATTGCAGATCTAGGTAAACCAGGTGATGTTCCACAGATTAGGTGCACAGAATGACACAAGTGGCAGGTGGTTCGGCGTGTTTCGAAGCAACCCCGGAGCGACGACGAGGTTTTCTACGGTTGCCCGGCCCACAAGGTGAGATTCAAACTGTTTTGATTCGACTGGGTGTTTACATTGCAGTTTGCAGTGAAGATTGACCCTTTCCTCTTGCTTGTAGCGCAAAGGCTTGGGTTGTCCCTTTTTCAAATGGGAGAAGGAGTATATCGAACATGTTGAGTCTTTGAAGAAGGAGGGCATGGGATTTTCTCAGCATCTGATGCCGCAGGAGCAAGCAAGTGCCTCCAATGCCGAGCAAGTTGTGGAATCCAAAGAGCAGGAAGCAGCTGTAGGGATGAAAAAAGAAAGAGGCATTACTGTTGATGCTGATATTGTGAAACATTTGCAAACCTTGGTCAGAACTGGTGACAACTTAGTTAGGTTGATGCAACTGACTTGTTTCATGGCTCTATGTATTACCTTGTTGTTGTTCTTGATCCTGGTGTAATCACCATTAAGGTCTGAATGTGTACGGATGAATGACTAAGTTATGAAGTTCTATGCAATTTGAAGGTGTATTGTCTAAAATGTGAATGTGAGTTTGCAATTTTTCTCTCATCTTGAAAAAGGAAAGAATTCCAAACTAATTTCAACAAGCACAGAGTGTACACAGAAAATTAACTGATAATCCAAAGATGCTTTGATATCATTCCAGTGAACTAGAGCATTGTTTTGCAACCAAAGCATACATATAGTTTTGCTGGTATAGCATACCAAAAGCCATATACAAAAGATAGGAAATCTATAGTTTGTTTCCTAATGTTTGCAGCTGAAACATTCACACAGTTTTGTAATGTTTTGAGCTAAAACATTCACATAGTTATACCTAAACAAAAGATCATCTTTCTGTTGTACAAAAGACAGAAAAAATGAACAAGCACTTAGATTTTTTGTATGATTTATGATTTCACACACATCATTACTTGTCCTCTTCAACCAACAACACCATCAGGATTGTTCATTGCAGCAGAAACCTTTTTGTGGGATGTTTTCTTCTTGCCAGCAGCAGTCTTTTTTGTAGTAGTTGTTTTATTCATAGCAGTGGACCTTGATCTCCCAGCCTTTGTTGCAGTAGTGGGTGGAACTGGCCTAGCTGCTGGTTGGTTAGACAATATGAAGCTTGAAAATGGAAGTGGTTCTTTTTCTAGTAATCTACTCTATGATGACTGAGAATGGAGATGATTAGATTGAATGAGATGTTGGGTGATCTGGAGGAATTCAATGACAGTGACACTAACCTCTGCTTGCATCTGGGACATCATGGTACTTGATAACTGGGACATCATTGGTATGTTAGTTTCTCCAAGCATGAAAACCTGTAACATAAAATTGACAGCTTAGATAAGACATACTAGTACAATGTATTGTCACATGAGCAGTTACCTTACTAATCACTGGCATAGAAGTTTGAACTGGCATCATTGGCATGTCACTATAATATTCAGTTGCAGCTTCCTCAAAAAACTCTTCAGTTTGAACTGGCATAGAAGTTTGGGTCCTCTGTGCAGGTCATCTTGGGTTTTAGTCCAACCTTTCTCATGCTACATGTAGCCCTGTTTTGTCCTTTGTCTCCACAGTATTTGCATGTCATTTGAACTCCATGCTTTGTCAACCTTGGTCCATGACTACCTTGTACCTCATATGGCTGCTTCTTCCTTGATTTAGGAGGCCTTCCAACTTTCTTCACATATACTGGTCATAGAATTACATTGCCTCCAACTTTCTGCCATGTGCTCTTGTCTTTACATGGCCACACATTGTGGCCATAAGCACTGAGATAGCTATTGGAAGAGTAACACTCAGGTGCAACTGACTCTGGTGTGATCCTTTCCTGCCTCAAGCATGAAATTGCATGAGAGTATGGGATTCTAGTGAGGTCCCACGTTCTGCAATCACAAGTCTTCATAGTGATGTCCACTAAGAAACTATAGTCCCTATCATATACCTGGAATATGCCCTATCCTGCAGGCATTGCATAACATGTATTGGCCCATTCTGTGTTCTTATTAATCTTCTTCTTTATCTTAGGACATATGGGTCCCTGCCACTCTTCTCCCACCTTCCTCTGCTTTTTGTAGAACTTGGACATTAGTTGTCCCTTGATATGCTCTAGCATGCTAAGAAATGGCATCTCCCTTGCCTCCAAGATATAATCGTTGAACACTTCACAGCTATTGTTCAGCAAAAGGTCACATTTTGGAAAAGTGCTAAAGTAAGCTCTGACCTAGGTGTTTAAAGCCATCTTGTCCAACCATTCATAGGCCTTATGATCCAGGGTCTTCATTTTCTCCATGTTCCTATTGAACTTGACCTTGCACAACACCAAAGCTGGTTCTTGAGATTTTCACCTTTGAAGTGGTGTTCGAAGTTGGAATATAGGTGTCTAACATAGAACCTATGTTCAGAGTCAGGGAAGACCTATTGAACTGCTGGAATAAGATCCTAAAAACAAAAGTACAAACATATGAAAATGGTGTTTCACCTAGCAAACAACTACAACAAAGGATATCGTGTTGTTTTCACCTTTTGTTTATCTGTCGTGATGGTCCATGGTTATGTGTTATCTATGCCAAGGTCCCTTTTCAGTGTCTCCAAAAACTACTTCCATGCCACTAGTGATTCCACTTCCACTATTCCAATGGCAATTGGGAAGATACATCCATTTGGATCAATGCCCACAGCTGTCAGTATTTGTCCACCATACTTAGTCTTAATGTGGCATCCATCCAAGCATATAATAGGCCTACATGCAGTCAAGAAACCTCTTTTACATGCATCCAATGACATGTACAATGTGCTAAATACATTGCCATCTAGGTTTAGAAAGAAGCTGCTGCCTGGGTTACTTCTTCTAAGTTCATGACCATAGTCCCAAAGTAACTTGTATTGCTCCACCTCATCTTCCATAACTTTCTTCATAGCTAATCTTTTAGCTCTAGCAAGCTTGGACCTTGATGGAGTTATGTTCTAGTCCTTCCGTATTGACCTAGCAAAATTTGTGAGGCTCATCTTCTGATCTGCCCTAAATGTTTGCAGATACTTGTCAGCAAGCCATCTTGATGTGCACCTCTTCAAAACCCACTTTTTCTGGCATGTGTGTTGTCCATTGAATTGCTCGATAACCATACCAGGGGATCTGCTATCCACTGAAGCATACAACTTCCAAGGACAACCTTCTGCACAGTGTGCGTCAATCCTCTTCTTCTCATTCCTTGGCAATTTAATTTCAACCCTGTGCTTCAAACTGTATTCTGTAACTGCTTTCCTTAGAATCCCAGGTGTTGGAAACAACTGACCCAAATTAAATATTGGGTTATGCATATCCTGCTCTCTGAAAGTCTGAAACCTTAGGCTTTCTCCACCTTCATCATCTGATTTAGGCAACTGTAGCTCATAATCTTCTTCTTTTGTTGACATGTCATCTTCAACATTTGATGCAACATTAAGCTTTCTTGCCCTTATCTTTCTTCTTCATTCCTTCTTCATCATCTAGATACTGAAAAAGGTCATCATCATATACAACCAGTTCGTAGTCAGAATCAACAAAATCAAGGTCCTCTTCTCTATCATCACCAGCACTGTCATCATCTCTGTCATTACCAAAGCTCCCATCATTTCTGTCATTAACTCGGTCATAACCACAGAATTCAGGTACCCCCCACTATCTACATTGTCCATATGCATAGTCTTCATAGGACAGAAAACCTTGGGAGGTGAGTTCAATGGGTTTGCAACAATGCCATCCCATTGTAAACCAGAAAGGTTGTCATCATGGTCCAAATACAGCACAAAATTCTTAAACTTGTGAACTAATGAGGACATTACCATTGTGTCTGTGTCAGACCAAATTAATCTCAACCCATTTGAAAGATTCTTCAAGGTAGCAGCCAGAACACCTTCTTGTTTGGATTCTTTGGGTAGTGTAACTTAAAAACAAGTTGTTCTATGAAAAGAGGAGACCAGTTAGCAATTTCTACGTGGTCAAACCAACTAACTCTTTCATCCAGATAGGCTTTGTTCAACCCTTGAGAAACAAAGCATCCCCTGTGATACATTTCCACTGAGAATTCTTCGTCATCAGTGCCTACAGAAGAAAACCCCAAAATCTATAGCATAAATGACCAATACATGAAACCCTAGCAGACAAAAGAAGATCTTTGTGCAACAAGCGAGTTAATCGACGCAAGAAATACCTCCTAAACCAACAAATTTCAGAGTTCATGACATTGAAGAACTCACCATACTGTGGTGCCTGTGCCTCCAGTGCTCGCAAAGTAGCCACCATCGTGCCGACCGGCCGCTATCGGCGCGGCAGTCAGCGCTCGGCACCACCACCCCGCACAATCTTCACCGCCTCCACTGGCTACGTCGTCGTTGGTACCACCCGCCGCCA